TTGCTCACACCTACATCCCCAGTGTTTTTGACAGCACCCTCCGCATGACGTCCACACCCTTAGTTCTGAACAAATCAGCTTACTTGGGGAGAACTTCAGAGCTCTGTCTCCCGGGGCAACGCGTCTGCGTCTAAGCCGCTGCAGAGGCGCTGAGGGCAGACACCGTGGTCACTTCCGGAGCTGGTGCCTGAGAGCCTGGTGCTGGGCGGGAGGTAGACTCTGGTCTCTTCAGCTTGCCTCTCCTCTCATAGGACCTCCACCCTGTGCACAAGCTCGGGCAAAGGTGACAGGCTGATTTTCTGAATCTGATGAGCAAGAGTCTTTGCCCTCTGGTTGGGTGGAGGGAGGCCCTGACCGCTCAGCTGGGCTTTCTTGGAACTCAGCGCCTGTGACACAGAGACAGGGGCATGTGGAGGAAGCGTGGACCTCCCTGCAGGGAGGTGCCATAGACAGGGAGCTGGGGTGCGTGACCCTGCATTCATAGCCCCGGCAACCAGTGGGGTAACCCTGGGGCTGACCTGGGGCAAAGAGAGACGTGAGTCATGGCTGAGGTGTCATGGACTCTTACTCTTCTGAGATTTACTAGCTTTTCTTGCTTGCTCCTTTATTGCATGTCCTTAGGACAATTTCCGGAGACTTTATGGCATTTTCACTGGGGAGTGGGTGGAGGTGCTTTGCAGGCTGCTGTTCTGGAACCGGATCGCTGCCCCTATTGTTTTTGAAAGGAAAGGTTTTAACTGAGTAAAACCTGAAGACATTTAAATCACAAAGACCGTCAAGGGCAAAGTGACAGATTTCAGAAAATTATAAAACAATAAACAAATGGTTGTAAAATGTCAAGTCCCTGATTTAATCTATGAATTTAGAACTTAGAAAAATACTGATAGGTTTAACAAAGGATATCTACTGGTATTTAGGTTTTTAGTTTATTAAAGCTATAGAAAATGAATAAAAGTTTATGACAGTAAATATTAAGCTACTTTTACAGATGTCTAATAAAAAACAATGAAATCGTCTTCAAATGGCTCCATTTGGTTTTGTAAATCTTTAATGATGGTTTAAATATGTGATTAATTTGATAAATATATCATAACTATATAATCTAATTGTAGGGGCCCAATGAAATGGAAAATAATGTAGCATAATTACATTAAAACCATCTGTAGGTAAAAACACCCAGAAATTGTAATTATAGCAAACAGAGGGGGAAAAAACAACAACCAAATCAATTAAGTGGCAGCAGCTGGGGTAAATCTAAATTACTCTGGACAGGAAAAACCAGGCGTGCTGCAGTGAGTGCGGGCATGCTTAGAAATCTGAATTGAACCTGAGGTTGCTCTGATCTGTGACCTATGCAGAACTCTCCTTCCTTGGGGAGCCCCTGGTCAGCCTCAGGATTACCCCACCTGCTTGCCGGAGCTATGAATGCAGGGTCACGCTCCCCCAGCTCCCTGTCTATGGCACCTTCCTGCAGGGAGGTCCACGCTTCCTCCACATGCCCTTCTGCCCTCTTCCTCCACATGTTGCCTCTGCTGTGTGATATATATATATATATTTTTTTTTTTAAAGATTTATTTATTTATACAAGCACTGGGTACAGTCAGAAGCACGGGAGGGTGAGAGAATTCACCGGAGCCAGAGTGGGGAACAGAACAGACAGGCCGACAAAATATACTGCTGAGGGGAGCAGCAGGAGTGGCAGGAGAGGTCTGCGTGCCATGTGGGAGCCTCGCAGGCGGGGATCGAACCGGCACTGCAGAAGCTGCGAGCAGCCTCGCAGCCCAGCGCTCAACCGCTGCGCCACCAGGGGAGGCCCTGCTGTGTGATCTTAAAGCGATCATCCAGATCACCCATTATTTCCCTCTGACGTTGTTAGACATTCTTCCTGAGATGTCTCCATTTTTCTTTAGCAGTTATTTGGGGTTAAAAGTGAAGGGGTGACCTGTTCACATTTCTATTAAGTGCCACTGAACGGCGTGCCTTCATGGGACTGACTGCCAAGAAAAGTCACCCAAAAGCTTCATGAACTTGTGGAAACTCTATTCTTTTCACGGATATAATACTTTCTAACCAAAAAAACCATCTGACTAGCTCTTTATTCTCCCTTAAAGTGGAGTGACTCCGACTCACACACACACAGCTCTGCAGCACTTACTGAAGGGACAGGAAAAGGATTTTGTTGCACGCGGTCAGATCGCCCTAGAGTGAGGCTCTGGTGCCAGCTGAGCAGGGATTTCTGTGGCAGCACAAAGGCCCCCCAGGGCGGCAGAGTCCTGAAGGTTGGCCTCTGGCTGTCAGTGTCCGTGGACCACAGCTGCCTGCTCGGAGCCCAGCGCGCTGGCCCACTTCTAAAGCAAGTCCCTACGAACCAGGCCAGAGTGCCAGCCAGCGGGGCAGGGCGGTGAGGCCTGGCTGAAGAGAAGGTAACTTCTCTCTGTTCACTGCCATGAACAGAGGAGGCGTCATCACTGAGCTGTCCATGGGGGGAGATACACAAGGCTGACCGCAGCCAGAGGAGACCTGCCTGTGAGCGCTGACCACTGTCCACCTGACACGACACAAACTACAGATTGGAGCGCCCCGGGCCATCGCCCACCCCTGCACACGGGTGGGCTGGGGCAGCCCAATGAGACCTGCGTGGATGACTCACAGCCCAGGTGCCAAGGTGAGGCACCTTCCAATTTCAAGTCTCCTTCTCTAGCCTTGAAGTCTGCTCCTGTCCACAAAGATTACAGGGGCCTCCCTTCTGGTAGGGCCCCTGAGCCTGGGTTTGGTCAGGGCAGACATGCTGCGTCAGAGGAATGCAGAGTCCCGCTGACCTGGATTTTGATGACAGGCACCCAGGGGACGTCCAGAGGAGCTATGAGTGTCACATAGTTCAAATATCTTTGGTATAGCCTTGGAATTTGCGTGTAATCCCAGTGTTCCCAGTGACTCACGCACCCAGGCTGCCCTCCTTCCGGCCGAGCCACTGCTGGCGCACAACCATCTTCGTGGAGGGAGTGCACCAGGCTCTCAGCTGGCTGCGCCATCTGTTGTTTCTTTAAACAAAATCTCTAGCAGACTCAGGTCCTGAATCCCCTCTGTCCATTGCCCATGACTTTGCCATAGCAATTCTTTCCACACAGCCTTTGCCCATAGGAGAAAAAGAAAACAGCCAGCAGAGGGTGGCCAGGGAACCCTGGAGGGTGTCAGGATTTGGGTCCCTGGTCCGCTGTGAGCAGGGAGAGTAGAGGCCTTAGCGGGCTTTGGGAGTGAGGTGAGAAAATGGCCAACTGCCTGATGAATTGATAATTGTTTATAACTTATTTATCTGAAAGAGAAATCACCAACGATGAGTTTATAGTGTATTTCCGAAAGCAAAGAACTCAGTCATGTTATAGAGGATCTTCGTGGTCCACAGGATACTGACAACCAGGTGATGAGCAAACCTCTAGTGTGCAGAAAGGGCGCAGACGCTTCTGGGGTCAAAAGGAAACAGGTGGACCTTCCTCTCTGCTGGGTCCACATGTGTGGATTCAACCAACCAGAGTTATTATTCATAATATTCCGCTTTATCCTTTTTTTTTTCTTTAAAGATCCATTCATCCATTTATACAAGCACTGGGCACAGCCAGAAGGGCGGGAGGGCAAGAGAACCCACCAGAGCCAGAGCGGGGAACAGAACAGGCAGACTGTTGAAGTACACTGCTGAGGGGAGCAGCGGGTGGCAGGAGAGGGCTGTGCGCCATGTGGGACCCTCGCTGTTGGCCGGGGATCAAACCAGTGCTGCAGAGGCTGTGGGCAGCCCTGAAGCCCAGCGCCCAACTGCTGCACCACCGGGGAGGCCCTCATCTTTATCCTTTTAATGTCTACAGGATCAGTATTTCTGGTCTCTCATTTCAGATGTTAGTAATTTGTGTCTTCCTTTCTTAGTTAACATTGCTAGAAGTTCATCAATTTTATTGACAGTGGAATATTATTCAGTACTAAAAAGAAGTGAGCTATCAAGCCCTGAAAGGCAGGATAGAACTTATATGCCTATTGCTAAGTGAAACAAGCCAATCTGAAAAGACGATCTACTCTATGATTCCCACCATGTGATATTCTGGAAAACCACAGCTATGGAATTAGTAAAAAGATCAGTGGTTGCCAATGGTTAAGGAGAAAAGAGGGCTGCAAAGGCAGAGCTTTTTAGAGCAGTGAAGCTACTCTGTATGATCTATAATGATGGACCTATTTCTATATACATTTATCCAGATCCATAGACTAAAAACGCCAAGGGTAAGCACCAATGTAAACCATGGATTTGGGATTATAATAATATATCAATGCAAATGTTTGGCAATGATAATAATGGGGAGACCATGGCTGTGGGGCCCGAGGGGTATATAGGAAATCTCTCTGTCCCTTCTGCTCAATAGTGCTGTGAACTTACCAAATAGTCTATAAAAACCAAAACCAAAACATCATAGTTATATGTTAGCTTTAATATCCCAATGAACTCTCCGTAGCCCTTTTGGCTACTGCAAATATTGTTGAAAAAGCTATTTAGCCTCAGATCATCCTACTTTGTCTTGCTACCAGGACCTAATTATGCTTGTGCCTGTCACTTTAAGGTAGCCCAGCTCCCTCACCGGGATTCTGCTTGGCCTCATCCTGCAGAGGATGCCACGATTGCCCTGTGGTCTAGGCTGCTTGACTGCTTTTTTCACATCCATCTTTGCTTATTTCCCTGACATCCTTGGGACTCCGCACCCCCCATGGGGCATGTCGCCAGTGCTCAGTCTATGAATGGCTGACTGTGAGATGCTCTACTTCCTTCCACAGGATAAATGCCTGGAGCTGTACACCCATTGGCTCTAAAGGAAACTGCGCATTACTTATATTTTTGCTAAATTTTGATAAGTAAAATGACAATTTGAAACTATGATCTATGCCTTTCCATTTTACTGCTATTTTGTGCCACATCTTTGCTCTGTACAATTAGGATCTTTTAAGACATAGCATTTTCTCTAATGGTGGGAGGTCTACAACTTAGCCATTTACTATGCACTCGTACTCTGTAGCTATGTTAGTCACGGTATTTTTATAGGTGTAATTATACAGCAATCTCGAGTGAAGAAATAGCTTTTATATTACCAACGGTTTCTAGCACACCAAAGATGTAACAGAAATTCAGGAAATGATATTTGCTGAATGATTCATTATTCAAGTGTTTACTAGGAAGAAAGGTAAAACTCAAGAGACAGTACATGTCACTCTTTCCTCGAGTTCATAGGATGTTTTGTGTGTATACGCTGCATACATCCATCATTTTGGAAGCAATAAAAAGTTCATAGATTTTTTTCTTGTCCTGACAAAAATGAAATATTGATACCGACATGTTTTTAAATTTTCTCTGGATTTCTTTTGAAATCTGTGAAACATGGCCCCTCTAAGGATGGGGTCTCTAGGGTTTACAGCTTAGCATATGCATACGTGTATGTGGGATGGGGACCGAGGGGCAGGAAGTGCTTTTCTTGTTCTTTTTACTACATAAGCATATGTTATCTTTCATTCACAGTTTTCAAAACAGCATAAAGCCAGATTATTTGTCCTTTGGGAACTTTAAATGGAAAGTGGGTTGTCTACCATCCTTACTTGTAGTTAGATGGGGGATATATGCAGAGAGCTTTGTTGCCTGGATTCTTCGGTTTGCAGACTCTTGCCTTTGACAATATCCACAGGCTCAGCCTCCCATTTGCTGATAAAAGGTTGCATACACTTAGTCTTTCTGGACTTGATTTGAGGGTGTGTTTTCCTTTTCTTGTGCTCTTTGAAAGGTGCCAGACTTTCAAATGACCTCTGGGACTCAGACTTGAGCCATTCTGTAGAACTTACTATAAGATTCCCTTGGTCTATAAAAGGGGGATTTCTGGGCATTGTCCAAGATGTGCAGTATTTCTTTGTATTTGTATTAGTAGCTGACTTTTGTCTAGGAAAGAAATGAAATATGTCAGTTTATGTCCAATATGTACTCTAGATATTTGTGGTCATCGTATAAACAATTGCGTATTTCTCATAAATTATGTTTTTCTGTTGGTGAGCTCATTCTCAAGAGTTTTGCCATTATTTCTATGAGAATGATCTAAATCTTCATGTTGTTATAATTTTTCAGCATTACTCCATCCTGTATTTCTGATCACTCAGAAGATATGTTTATTTGCATACTTTGCTTTGATCCTAACTTCCTTGATTTAAGGTTGCCACTCTGGGTCTCAGTTCTTATTTAGTAATGGCTTTATTTTTATATCTATAAATGAAATCTGGTCTATCCTTTCTGCTTTCCTCTCACTATCAATAAGTCTAAGTAATTCAGGTTAGTTATTTCTAATTCTGGTTGCTCCTTAGGATTATAAGGTTTAAAAACACTCAAGAAAATTTAAGTCTGTGGCCTCCCTGGTGGCACAAGTGGTTGAGTGCAGTGCTGTGAATTTGTCTGCAGCCTCTGCAGCGCTGGTTCGATCCCGGCCGGCCGGGGAGATACACACATGGCGCGGCAGACCTCTCCTGTCTCGCCCGCTGCTCCCCTCAGCAGTGTATTTCAGTAGAATCCGCTGTTGGGCTCCCCACTCTGTCTCTGGTGAATCCTTTCACCCTCCCGCACATCTGGCCTGTACCCCGGTTCTTGTATGTATGAATAAATAAATCTTTAAAAAAAATTTTAAGCCTGGCTATGGTTATATTTTCTTAGTGCATACTTCCTTGATGGATCCAAATAAGTGAATGAATAAGGACTGAACCCTCCTCCTTTCTCCTAGCTAACATTTTCTTATGGATGTGGGCCTTTGTCCCTTAGCCAAATGTCATATAGCTGCCACCATTTTAAAGAGCCTCTGTTTATTTCTTAGGATAGTGAATTAATAAAGCCTGTTTCCTTATAAACAAATGTATTAAATAGCTAAGAATGAAAAAAAATGTATTGACTTACCGATACTTGTTTTGGAAGTTGATTTTTGGATTCAGTTTCTGTTTTATCTGAGTCGTTTGTGCTTTTTTAGTACTTTCCATGATAGGGAACAAATACTGCAATATTTCTTGCGTTTGAGCTATTTTTGTATCCCTGTAGATTCTTTTTTCATCATCTGTCCAATTTACATCAGTCTTCTTACTTTGGAAAGATGCACATTCTTTCATTTTGCTTTTCAAGTCCTGATGTGAATCTGGGGAGCAACCACAAAAATATGTATAGATCAATGAACTGAACTGATTCAACAGCTATTTAGCGAGACTTATGCATCAAGAATTCTATCTAAAAATTCTTACCTCTCTGTAGCTTATGCTTTCATTACAGGGCCAGAAAATAAGTAAACAAATATGTATCAGATAAAGGTAACATTTATGGGCTAAAATAAACCTGTGGAGGGGGATAGTGAGATCATGGGGGAGGAGCTGATTTCTGTTTTATTAAAAAGGAACACCCAGGTGATATTAGTGGCTAAAACAGAATGAACTAAGTGGAATGATAGAAGATATGAGCTCAGTTGAGTAACTTAGACTCTGTTTATATAAGGCCTCATATGAAGTTGTGAGGACTTTGATTTTTTTTTTTTTGTGGGACCCTCGCAGGTGGCCGGGGATCGAACTGGCACTGGACAGGCTGCAGGCAGCCTCGCAACCCAGTGCTCAACAGCTGCGCCACCAGGGGATGCCCAGGACTTTGATTTTCATTGAGGATGAAATGGGGAGCAGCAGGAAGACTTTGAGCAGAGAAATATCATGTGCTGATACCTGTTTTACCAGCATCATGCTGGATGCTGCACTGAGAACGGCCTGAACAGGGGCAGAGAGGACAAGCAGGGAGACTGCTTAGAAGTGGTGGTAGTGACATGAAGTGCGAGAAAGGGGTGTGTGTGTGTGTGTGTGTGTGTGTGTGTAAATACTGGATATATTTCTAATGAGTGAGATGTGCGGGTAAGAAGAAAAGAGGAACCAGTGGTGGCTCCAAAACCTCTGACCCGAGGAAACAGAAGGATGGAGATATGAGGGGAGCTATGGGAAGAACATCTTAGACATTCCTTTTTTATTAGATGCTAAGAATTATTGTTTTATTTGGTTAATTATCATGAGTATAATAAAATTTTTAAAAAGTGCTCATCAAACTGCTCTAAAAATAAAGCCTATTAAAAATTGTTTATTTCACCCCTTAGAATGGCTTCTATCAATAAAGTGGAAAATAACAAGTATGGGTAAGGATGTGGAGAGGTTAGAATCTTTGTACACTTTTGGTGGGACTGTTAAGTGGTGCAGCCAGCTATGGGAAATAGTATGGTGGCTCCTCAAAAAACTGAAAACAGAATTATCATAAGATCTAGCAATTCCACTTCGGGTGTATGCCTGACAGAACTGAAGCACAGTCTTGAAGAGAATGTGTATATCCATGTTTAGAGCAGCATTATTCACTATTGCCGACTGTCCATTAAAGGATGAGTGGATAAGCACAATGTGGTATATCCATACAGTGGAATATCATTCAGCCCTAAAAAGGAAATTGATACCTGCTACAACATAGATGAAGTTTGAGAACATTATGCAAGTGAAATATGCCAGTCACAAAAAAGACAAAGGTTACACTTATCTGACAAATATCTGATTCCATCAGCCCTCTCTCTTTACAAAGCAGCTCCCATAATCCAGATTTCATAGGATTTGTTAATAATGGTAGACTGAAAGCAAGTATTGTATTTATTAAAATCCTAAACAAACAAAAACCAACCTTCTGTTGGTATCTTTTTCTTCTCATTCCAACTGGGATTTTGTTTGCGCACAGGGCACTTTAAGGCTGTCACTTTGAAACAGTTTCCATACAAATCACTGCTCTTGGGCTGATTTATATCCTGGCGTGGCTTCTCACTGGTTCCTGATAATTGTCTTTGTTGGTCTTTGTTAAGCCTCTGATTCGCACAGCGGGAGCTGAAAAAAATTGGGTACTCTGATTTCAGTGTCAAAGTCAACTATCTAATCAAAGTAATGTAATGCCAGTTATGTTTGTGTATTATACCTCACTGCATGCACGGTATTCCTACTTGGGACTCTCACCAGTCCTGTGACAGAGACAGGATGGCCAATGTTCCCCCATCTTTCATCAGAGGGGAAATGCAAAGAGGATGTTAGGGAGTCTGGGAGGTTAAGTATTTGCTCGAGTTCATGTCTTCTAACTCCAGAACTCTCTTGATTATCTTATCTTGATATATCATTTGCTTTCTTTCCGCAGATGTGATAAAAGACATTTTAAAAAATTAAATCTTAGTTTAAATCAATCAATTCTAGACCCAAGTACAGATATGCCCAAGACGGTTTCTTAACCTAATTTTCTAGATTTTGGGGGGCAGGAGATTCTATGTATTCCAACAGAACCTGCTCCTTTAATTGAGCAGAAACCAAGTTCTTCGAAGAGCGCCCAAGGAAGGAAGAAAGGAGACCATGTTTTTCTGGTGTACAAATCCAGGCTACTCTCAAATACTTGCCTACTCCACTGTTCAGACAGTTGTCCACAACATTATTCCTAAGGACGGGGGAAATTTGTCAAGGGGGTGAACGATATAAAAATTAGTGGTTTAGACAAAACTGCGAGTTCATCTATGTTATCCCTGACTTCTTTTTTTATTCCTCTTCAGTTTTTATCCCTATACTACTAGTGCTCCAACTGCTACTACAGGTCGTAAAACATCTGATAGTCACTAATTTTAAAGTGCGAAAGTAATGACGGATGCATGGAAGTAAATGTTTCACTATAGATTTTAAGGGATAGTTTGAAGGATGTCAGAATCCTTCAACATGCATCACATGAGCCTATCTACGGTCAAAACTGAGCTAGTCACAGACACTGTAGAATAGGAGACATCAGAATAGCATTTGTTATTAAAAAAAGTTGCTATAATTCAAAATTCAGATCTTATAAGACACAGGAAAAGGAGCAAGGTAGTTAGGTAGAACAAATCAAGTGTAGTTTTCTTACCTCAAATATCTTTTCAAAAGCCAAGAAGGAGTCTGTCTAGGCATTTTCACTAAAAAAAAAAAAAAAAAAAAGAATATGTCATAACATTTCTGAACTAGATTTTAGAGGAACAAAGCTTAGTTTTTGACAATGATTGCAGTTATATATTTAATGGCTTGCTTAAATGAGTTATCAATTAACTGCCATTGTCTCAGCCAGGCATATGAAATATATTATTACATATTTCCCCTGGAAGTCTTTTAATTACACTGTTTCAAGAGAATAGCAAATAGGAGAAATGCCTATCCAGCAACTGTCCAACCATTCAGAACTGAATACATGTGTGTAAGACTCTATGAGGGACATCTACATGTCCACTGAGGAGTCAGAGCATGGCCTTGCCAGATAAAAAAGAAAAGTATATTACTCAATAAATACATATGTACCTGTGTGATTATTTTAACAGAAATAGAAAATAGGCATTTATTTGAAATTATTCTGTTAATTGCTTTTCTGTTATGTAAAGGCTATTAAGAAAAACAACAAAAGGACTAATTAACAGTGGCAATTAGTGTTAATTAATAGAACACATTATTATGGGTGAGAATAATAACAATGTATTTATATGCTTTTCAGGTGGCTATACTATTTTACATTCCTATCAACAAATATATGAGGGTTCTCCTTCTCCAGATGCTTGCCAAGACTTAGTGTATCTTTTTTGCTTAACTGATTACAATTTTTAATTTCCTTACATTGCTGTTCATTTTTGTACAATATTTGATTTCTCCCCTCAGATGTAGTCCCCATAAATCTCCCATCATCACATCACCCTCGAACTGTCACCACGGTCTCTTGTGCTCTTTTTCCCTCCCCTGTTTTGACCCCTGTCCCCACCCCCATTCCTCTCTCCCCCTTCCCTGTACATCCCAGATCTATCCTTTGCCTGCAAGTTTTGTCTTTGTGTGTGTGTGTGTGTGTGTGTGTGTGTGTGTGTTGTCTTTTTGTTTAAAGCTCCTAGTGGATGAAATGGCATCACTGTGGTTTTGATTTGCATTTCCCTAATGACTAAGAGGTTGAATATCTTCATGTGCTTATTGGCCATTCTTATATCTTCTTTGGAGATGTTTATTAGATCACTTGTTCATTTAAAAAAATTAGTTCTTTTTTGTCATTGAGTTTTAAGGGTCCTTCATATATTTGAGATACAAGTCACTTAATGGATTCATGGTTCAGAAAGTTTATCCCAGTCGGTGGACATTTTCACTATCTTGAAGTGATTGATTGTGGAGCAAATGTTTTTAATTTTGTTGAAATCCAATTCATCTTTCTTTTTGAGTCTTTCTTAGATCTTTCCAAATCTCTGCTTTGGTTACCTATCTGTTCTTACATGTTGTTATGTTTCTTTTAGACCCCTTAAGCTATTAATCAAAGCTATTTTGAATCTTATGTCTGATAATTAGAAAACTCGTGTTGTACTGGAATCTGGTTCTGATTCTTTTTTTTTTTTTTTTTTTTTAAATTTTTTTTTTTTTTATAGAGGCATGTTATTTATTTATTTATTTGTTTGTTTGTTTTGTTTATACAAGCACTGGGTACAGTCAGAAGCGCGGGAGGGTGAGAGAATTCACCAGACCAAGAGCGGGGAGCAGAGCAGGCAGAAGGACCGAAGTACACTGCTGGGGGGAGCAGCGGGCGGCAGGAGAGGTCTGCACGCCATGTGGGGTGGCAGGAGAGGTCTGCGCGCCACGTGGGACCCTCCTCCGGTGGCCGGGGAGCAGCTGGGGATCGAACCGGCGCTGCAGAGGCTGCAGGCAGCTTCGCAACCCAGCGCTCAACCACTGCGCCACCGGGGAGGCCCATGGTTCTGATTCTTGCTTTATCTTTACAGAGGTATTTTTCTTGCCTTTTAGAAGGTCTTGTACTTTTTCTTCTCGGAAACCGGACCGTGGGTAACAGCACCTGAGGTTGTCAGCCTGTGCTGTGAGGCTCTGTGTTATTCTGACAAGGAGTTGGCCTGTGCTTCATGTTTGCTGTCGCTGCAGTGCCAGAGGCTTGGATTTTCTGTAAGATCCTTATTTTTTTCTCTCCAGTTGTTTTTGGTATTCCTTAAGAACTACTTATCAGCATTTACAGATTTTGGGCATAAACCACTGTTGTTATCATACTGGCGTCACGTTGGCGTGGTGGTAAGGTATGGGAGAAAGGACGCAATCTATAATCTTACTACTAAATTTCAGTCTTTTACTGAATTTGTGTTTCTGGGCTGTGATCCTAACAAGCATTTCATAGCTTTCCTTTCTTCCACCCTCAGCGAGACACGAGGGCTAGAGGGGGCTGATTCTGGCAGGGTAAGGAGGAGTCATTTTGTGGGCAACACCCACAGCATTCTCCATGACAAAGGCCTACCCTCTAACTACAGCCCTTCACTCATCAGAGCTAAAACTAGTCTTCTTACTGTGTTTTTACATAGCATATCTATGTTTTCTTATAAGAGTAGTTTTAGCTATTAAAGTCCATCACCCATTGGGAATTATTTTTTGTGTAGGGTGTAAAAATGTGTCCAGTTTCATTCTAGTGCATGTGGATATAGTTGTTCCGGTACCATTTGTTGAAAAAGACTTTTTTTCTTCATTGTCTTGGCAATTTTGTTGACAATCATTTGACAATAAATGTAAGGATTTATTTTGTATTCTGCATTCTATTTCACTTTCTCCACATCTATTCTTAAAACACTACCATCAGTGCTATGACTTGGTAGGACGCTAGGAAATCAGAAAGGGAGAGTCCTTGAACTTTGTTCTTCTTTGGTTATTCAAATAGTCTTGGTTATTCTGGGTCCTTTATATTTCCATATGAATTTAAGTTCAACTAGTTTCTGTACAAAAGGCAGCTGAAATTTTGATAAAGATTGCATAGTGTCTATGTGTCAATTTGTGGAGCACTGCTATTTTAACATTAAATCTTGTGATTCATGAACATGGGGGTATCTTTCCATTTTTTTAATCATTTAAAATATATTTCAACAGTGTTTTATAGTTTTTAGTGTACAAGTCTTGCAAATTAATTCCTAAGGGTTTCATTAATTTTGATGCTATTGTGAATAGAATTTTCTTAATTTCATTTTCAGAGTATTCACAATATATACACATACAGTTGATTTTTAGAACAGATTTTTGAGATTTAATTCACATACCATACAATACATGCCTACAACTGACTTTTGCATACTAATCTTTTACCCTATAGCTTTTCTGAATTCATCAATTACCTCTGATTGTGTGATTGTGTTTATTCTTTAGGATTTTATATATACAAATATATGTTGAACAAATATAGTTTTACTTCTTTCTAGCCTGGATGTCTTTTATTCTTCTTTGTCAAATTGTCCTGCCTTAACTTCCCTTATAATGGGAGTAGACATTCCTATATTGGTCCTAATCTTAGGGGGAAAGCATTCAGTTTTATACCATTAACTATGATATCAGTTTTGGGGTTTTTGTAGATGGTTGAGGAAGATACTATCCATTCCTGATCTGTCAAGTGTTTTTTCTTAAATCATGAAAGATGTTGCATTTTTCCAAACACTATTTCTTTATCTATTGAGATGACGAAGAACACTTTATTCTTTAGTCTATTAATATGGTGATTATACTGTTTAATTTTCATGTTAACTTTGCATTTGTGAACAATCCTACTTGTTCATTAAATATAATTCATTTTAAATGTTGCTGGATTCAGTTTGCTAGTATTTTGTCTGTCTTATTTTGTCTTAATTCTTAAGGGATTCAGAATTTTAGGTAAAGAAAAATGCTATTTATTTGTTTCCTGAAATCCTAACAGTTACCTTTTTTGAGAAAACTTCTCTGGTCTTCCCATATCTTCAAACAACTGCTATGTAACCCTGTAAAAGAGTAAGTAGCATTTATCCCATTATATTGTACTCTAGTCTGACATTCTCTCTGCTTCTTGAGAAGAGGTTATATTCTATTTCCCATAGTGTCCCAGTATCTAGCATAACCATTGCTTCGTATAACTTGGAGCTCTGGAAGCAGATAAACATCAGATTAAAAAAAAAAAACACAAACACAAAAAGAAGTGAAAGGAGATTATATAACAAAGATTGATTATAAGAGAAAGGCTGTGACATAGAAGAATAGTGGCAGAAGGTTAAAATACCAAATGAACCAAGATATGAAAAAATACTAACAAGAAGTAGTAAATTTTACTTAGTCATATTGAGGATGAAAATATATTGAACAATGTTATATTTGTTCTACTGGATTATTTTAAAACACTGATGGATGACAAAGAGCAAAATCCCTCAGCTCTTAAAGTGTTCTTTTTTTTTTTTCCTAGCAAATAATTTTCTTCTGATCAGAAGTAGAGAATAAATATTGGTAAGAGATGACAGAAGTTAAAAGACTAAATGATTTATCTATAGTCTGAGGCATATTACATCCCAAGTAAAGAAATAATTTACATAAACAATTGTAAAACAATTGCCAACGATCTTTTAAGAATTCAAGGAAGTGCTAAATTGCCTAACTTGTTATAATTTAAGGATCAGTTCTTCCAAGAAAACATTCCCTGAGATTTCCAGACTGTATTAGACAACCCCTTCTCTGAGCAATCAACAACTATATCTCATTATCACTCACTTTATCTTACTCTTACTATAATGAACGGTATATGGGTCTTATTAAACCTTGACACCTTAAAAAAGAGCTAATCTAGTTGAAGAAAGGGACAGTTGTATGTTTCAGGCAGAGAAGACCGCATGAACAGAGATAAGGAGGTGAGAAGACTGGCATATTTTGAGGCTACATGTAGGTCATCTTTGCAAAGGTGCAACTTAAAAACGGGAGACTGGCAGGAGGTAAAATTGGAGGGGTAGTCAGGGGCGAGTTCATGGATGTCATGTTTCAGAGCTTGGTTTCTAGGCTGCAGCTAGTGGTTGTCAACATTGTTTTAAAAAGTAACAGATCATTATTGAAAGAAAAAATGTACCAGAAAGCTACCCAGGATGAATTAGAATTGGATGGCTAGGTCCCAATTGATTAGCCTCCGCCCATCAACTCTCACTATAACTCCCAAAGTGTAGTGTGTGGGTCACCAATATCAGAATTATCTTATAAAAAATAATATCTTGGGCCTCCCTGGTGGCACAGGGGTTAAGCATTGCACTATGGAGCAATTCGCAGTCTCTGCAGCACAAGTTTGATCCCTGGCCCGCCAGGGAGTGCCCTACTTGGCAAAGCAGACCTCTCCTGTCACACCCGCTGCTCCCCTCAGCAGTGTATTTCGGCCATTCTGCCTGTTCTGTTCCCCACTCTGTCTCTGGTGGACCCTCTCACGCCCCCATACCTCTGGCCTATACCCCAGCTCTTGTATGCATAAATAAATAAATCTTAAAAAAATCTTATAAAAAGCCAGAGGTTGACAACAAAGATCAACTTAGAATCAGAAGCTGGAGTTTTCTTAGGTTTCCCAGACAACTCTTGTGTACACTAAAATTTTAAAGCAGACATTCTCTAAAACAACTGGCCCATCATCTCCAAATATGCCAGTGCTGTGAATAACCAAGAAAGACCGACTATTTCAAATTAAAAGAGAATAAATGGTTATTACAGTAAAATGCAACTCATGAATCAGGAGAGCGGTTTTGCTCTAAATGATAATGACCACTTATTCCTGTTTTACTCACTCAAAGTTTGAGTAGGGAACTGTGTTCTGAAAAAATCAAATATACAATCATCAGAGTCATTTGGCCTTGTATCTAGAAAAGATGGTAAAAGATCATTAACAGCATGAAATAAAAAAAAAAAAAAAAAAAAAAAAAAAACAGCATGAAATGATTCATTGATTCTATTACAAATATTATGTGATATATAAATGTTAATTTAGGTCAATGAAATTAATACAAACAGTTCCTCCAGTCCTGTGAATTTATGTTGCATTTTTGCTATTTATAGCAAAAATCTAAAGAATGTTCATACTCCTTTGGTCAGTAATTTCTTTCTAGAAGTAAGTTACTAATTAAGAGTATATACAAATCAGGAATTATAAGGTCTTCATTGTTGTTTAAAAAAGAAAAAATGTAAACAAAACAAGTTTAACAATGGGGTGGATAAATAAGATTTGTAAATATAATGGAATACTTTGCACCATTTATTAACATGCAAAAAAGTTTACAATAAACTAACTTTAAATGATAACGCGGGTTCAAAACATGAAGATTATGTGATTAACATGGAGTGTATGTGTACAGCTATAGAAAAGGGATTAGTATTCTAAAATGTGGTTTTTATTTCTAATTTTTGACATTACCTTTTTTAGGTTAATGAACATTTATTTTGCAACTGTATTAATTACAACGTTTGGAACAACAAATGGCGGAAAATCCAATTAAAATAGTAGAAAAGTCTGGTGACACTGACATTAAAGTTCAAATGAATATGTATGATATCAAACTTCTAAAATAAAATAAATTATCCTTATTTATATTTTCTTTTGTTCAATGTTGGTCATGTTTTGGTGTGTATTTTTAATTTCTTAAGGACACACTTTAAAGGTTTGATGACGATACCGATGTATGGGATTCAACTGAATTTGAATGGTTTTAAAGATATTTTTTCCTTTATGTATAAATTTAGTTACTATTTACAAAAGACAGAACTTTTTGTTAAGTAGTCAACTATGTTAATCAGATACAACTTTTCTTAGATCTTTGATTAATCTCACTTTACAAATAACCAAAACATGTCTTTCTTGTATTATCTTTGAATAAAAGTTAATATATTTAAAAGTTCAAGCAAATGAACCATCTTAATTATAACAGAATTCTCTTTTTTCCTTGGGGTGTCTTTAAAAAATCTCCATCTGTATACTTAATTAGTCTGTTATGTTATAAACTAATTAAAAATTTTTTTGGGAAAGAAATATGGAATAAAAATATAGTAAGTTAATACCTATACACATAAAGTTAAAGAATTATTTTAGATAAAGTTAAAATATTGCTTAAATTATATGAATATATTTAATAGAATTTTACATAAAGAGAGGAAAATTTTTTTAAATACCAGAAAAGTTAGAGTCAGACTTAGTAGATTCCAGGAGAGGCAAATGTAATTTAATTTCTCACCTGGGCACATCTTCTATTGAGTTATGAAATGAGAGGGTGAGATGGTTTTTAAAACATGAAATCCACATATTCCATTTGGTGAAAAAAATCTTTTCAGTCAGGGCTAACCCTCAAGTTCGTGAACCGCTGGTTTCAAGCCTTCACTTACTGCATTTCTGGAGGTTGGCTTATTCCAGGCCAGCAGTAACCGACCAGTCCTTTCTCTAGGCTCCCCGGGCACCTGCCCAGACTACTGGCATTGCACTTGCAACACTACACTTGTTTACTTATTCCCCTCTCCCCCCATTAAAAGATGAACACCAGAGGGAAGAAAGTCGGGTAGTATAACTTTCGAGTACTTCTAGCACTGAGCGCAATGGCAGCCTCAAAGTTGTGGCATGAAAAAAGTGCTTATTGATTAAATATGTTGTCTATGAAAGAATAGCAACAGAACATTACCTTTCGCATCAGAATTCGATTTTTGTTCTTTTTGCACAATTTCTCCTTTATTGCAAACCTAATGGGACATAGGATTAGATGGAGAAGAATACTGAACCAAGAAGGAAGACCTCACCCTGCCTTGGAAGCTGTTTTGCCACATTCCTCAGGGACATGGCAGTAGGTTGCTTCATGCTTAAGGAAATATTTCTGTTCCCTCGGGGGATGCTGATAATATCAGTGGCTAACAAACACAGAAGAGAGCGACTGTTTCAGGAAGGTCATGGATACTCTTGTGACTAACTGCCCCTAGGTGTCCAGTGCCTTCCCTGACCTGAGGATGGAGAAACTCTCCCCAGGGCCCTCAGGTCCTTATATTTTGCCCCCGCTATAAAACCTTCCTTCACTCACCCCTCAAAGAGATGGTTTCTTTAGAGTACTAACTACTGTTACAGGGTGTAATCTCCATAAAAAGGAGGTTCCATGTTCTCTGCCCCACCCAGTAAAGTGTGGAGCTGAGCTGGGTATAAGGAATATAAAAGGAAAAAC